AACCAAGGGCTCCATAGAGAACATTTCCAGTACCATTTTGGAGTTGTAGAGTAAATCGGAAGACTTACAAAATGAGGAGTGCATAGTTTAGATCATTTCCATCGTTGTTCCTTTCTAAAAGCACGGCTGGTCTCTACGTTGCTACGCTGTTTTCTGATTCTACGATGTAATTTAATGCTGCATGCTTTTTTAAGAATTGAAATAAAGATTATGTTAAAAGTTCAAGTGCTATTTGAACCGTGAAAACTCACTGCATTTCCCCATAGATTCAGGGAGCTTTACAGCTGCATTGATTTAAACATATTTAATTAACCCCTTGAACTCAAAACCATGTTCGCTGCAGAAAAAGGAGCGTGGTTGTGTAGTTTTGTCTGGAAACCCTCTGTGCTTTTACATTCACGAGTATAACAAACTATATGGTTACTCTCTTATATTTTGTAAGCAATAAGATTCATGGCAACCGGTAGGAAATAATCTAACCGGTCTAAATCAAATTGTTATTTCCTGTTTAAAGTGTTTGTCAAAGCAGGAGCACATTAGGTGACATTGATGAAAGACAATCGGTTTCAAAGCAGGAAGCAGTTTAATTGTGTTTTCTCTTTATTTATTCGACTCAGAAATTGGACAAGAATGGCAGGGTGTCATTAAAACACAGATACTTGCTCAGTATTTTAATGCGACTGTTAAAACTGGTGGTGTGGATATCCACAAGATGCAATTGAGTCATCGTGACATGAAGGGAGAGTGAACAATTATTGTTGTGTTCCTCCGTAATATAGGGTATGTTCACCCTCTGTATGAAACCAGAGCCCAGTCGGACTTGTTAGTTAGTTAGGTTGTTTTGTTTTCTGTAGGAGTAATGATTAAGTAAAAAAGAACTCTTGAAGCTAGTCAGGTTTTCCAATTGCAATCTTTCACAAGCATGCATTGTTATGGTAATTCCAGTATGGGGCCAATAACCTCAACACAAATTCAAGTTAAAAAAACTACTGGTCAGGGAATGGGCTGGAACATTGCAAAACTCAAGCATTAACTTGGTTACAATAAGTAAAATAACAAATGTTTATCAACTATACAATTTCTTATATACAGTATGTTCTGAGCTGATTGGTTGCCTTGTAAGCTCATTAAATAACTCAGAATGCCTGACAGTAATAATATAAATTAAATCATTTCCAGATAACATCCCTCATATAGGAATAGAGCAAGTACTCACAACGTAGTACACTTATGTTAGAGATTTACTGGTTTGGAACATTGCATTTTTCACCATTAATTGAACCAAATAGTGAGGAGCTGACTTGGAATATAATTGAAGCATTACTCGCCTTGGCTGGGGAAAGCAAGAGCAGAGTCATCATTAATTGGATGCAAGCTGCTCTGTGCACAAATCCCCAAGCGGTCAGCATGATGAGGACAGATAGAGCCAATGAGAGCCTGCAAAGAGAAGTTGTGGTGAGAAAAAAAAGATGCAGTACCTTCCCTTATTGTAAAAATAAAGTGTAAAGGATGGTTCTCTACTAAGAGGAATTATTTCATTGATCATTTCAGGCCTGCTGATTCAGTGGCTGTGTGGAGTAATGAGAGTGGAGGTGATGCATGGGAGGTGTTCAGGGGAGGCTCTGGGGAGTGGCTGATATCGCAGTTTTCCCTAAACCTTATTAGGATTCAGCTGAAACCTGCACTCTGGCATAACAATGTCTGAGGAACAGCGAGAAAAACATCATGTCCATATCACACAGCCAAAAAAGGATTCAGGTGAATTTTGGAAAGCAAAAAGAGATTACTCAACGGATAGGAAGACTAAGTGACTGCATGAACATATCATTATATGGAATATAGGCACCAAAACTGATCCCAGTTAATCCCAGTTGGGTTCATTTTGGGGTTTATCTGAAACTTGAAAATGGCATGCTGCAATTTAGCGGTAGAAATAAGCAACATGCGGGGAAAAGGGTTTACATTTGGATATAAAAGACCCATCAAAACACGTCCCGATCGCGGTGTCTGAATGTCAGAGCTATCTACATCTTAATGATGAGACACTCAGTTTGAAATGCCAGAGCTATATTCCACACTCCTTAAACCTCCATTAGTACAAAGAAGTTTCTTCTGTTTTGCATTTAATAAGCGCTGAAGACAACTTAAGTTACAACTCCAGTTCTATGAATATGTGTGTTGTTGTACTGCTTTAGATAGTTATTTGAAACCATGCAGGCCTTATAAAACAGTGGATGACACAATCTGAGGAACTAAAGCCACTTATCCAACATCGAGTCAACTACTATGTCCATATAACGCAGGCCTCATTATCTCGTAACACCTTTAGGCAATTTGTTCTTGTTCTGCTTAATCTCGTTACACTTCCAGGATTTTGTGTTACATTTACAGAAATACCCCCCCCAAAGTGCCACATGAAGAACACCCACGGTGCTGAAGGGAAAAACGGTAAAAAGGAATACTAAGAAAGTTGAGGGTGTTATCAACAGGGACCAATTTAGAGCTTTCAATCTGAGATAGCGAACGCTGAATCCTTGTTATTGTTAAAGATTTTTCATTATACATCGTTCACATTCTCCACTCACCATTAGAAAAACATCTTCCTTACTGCCTGGTTAAATGAAAAGAATGCTTTGCACTCCTTGAATGTGTTTCTCTTGTGTAACAGAATAGAGTATAAGAAATATCTCCAAAATCATTGTTCCATTCATCAGCTGCTTCTCATTCTAATCAGTTATGTTTGAGGACAAAGCACGTTCCTTCAATTGAGTACTTGTGATTTTCAGATGAATTGTATATTCTGATGCCAATGAATCAGTGACAAACAAAAGTCTAGCATGATGATATCAAATTCTGAATGAATGTCTGTCAGTTTGTCACACTGATGCTCCTGTATACATATTGAATGTTTCCCAGAGTCATGTTTTGTTTACTTCCGTTTCAATTACTCACCATGACGGGAAACCCTGATGCCATTTCCTAGCACAAACTTCAGTTCTTCACCTTAGGGAACAAAACAGGGCAGCATTTCCACTTCTCATTTATAAGTCAAATGTATGTGAAAAACGTACTGTATGAATGTATTTTGTTGTGATATTTTAGAATACATGTTCATTTATTTGTATCATCCGACGTAAGTACATTTTCAGTGTAAGGATGTTTTCACATTTGAGAAACGGTGTGTAAAGTCAACATTGTATTGTTTGTGTAAAGGTTAAAGTCTGCGCTCGGGAGGAAAGCTATCAAACAGAGCTGTTGTTGAGGTGGCAGTATGATTTATTTTTGTTTCTTTGCAGCGGGGTTCTGTGAAAACAGAGGATGCATTGGTCAAGCAAACAGCTTCATTTCAGCACACATGAATCAAATTCCAGGCGAAGCTTTTAACAGATAATGGGACACCTATTGGCATCCGTTTCCTTGTTTTCTATGAGCTCGATATGCACTTTGAGTAAAAAAAAAAAAGGCTTAATAAATAAGGCAATATTGAAAATAGCAACAAATAAAGACTGCTTACATTTTGTTTGCTCTTTACATCACAGTGCAATATATTTAAGGCAAGGAGACAAGCAAGAAGTTACACAACACATACATAACAATACAATCAGTAAAATCACTCCTTTTTCATAACATGAGGAAAAATAGATCTCTAGAGGAGTACATGCTGAGAGTGAGAACAACCCACTTGTGCACATTTACACACATATCTACACACAGCACAGATTCACAAGAGCTTAGATTGGAAATCAACAGATGTTATGAGTAAGAGGGGACTGATGATGGTGTTTTTAGTTCTGCTCAGACAAAAATCAGGATTTGCTGAACATTGATTACATTTTCTATTCATCCCTGCGATAAAAATGTCCCCTCTGCTGCCCTGCGTCACCGGGGAAATCAGAGGTGAGGGTCTACAAAACCTGCATCCCTGATCAGGTAGGGTGTGAAGCCGCCATTATGGAGCCACAAACTGGGAATACACCCTGAATTTTTTCACATTTTCTTCTGCGATATATACATAAACCAGAAATGCTCATTAAGTGCCATACGTTGTGCTTGAGAAATACACTTTTTCTGATTCCTGAGTCTAGAATCTATGCGTTGCTGTTCTCTATTTACATTCTTACCTGAGGGCAAACAAGAAAGTACCCTCATTAAACTAATTATGTACCACACAGTCAACAAATGTCATGCATGAGCTCCAAAGAATCGACTGCAGTTGGTATGCGGGGCTGGTTATATCTGCGGCACAAATGTGGTAATTTTTGTATGTGCTCTTCTGCTGTGAAGTGTTTTGAGCAGCTTGGAAAATCACAAGGGTAATGATGTGCGTTCTCCTGCGTTCTCCTTCTAACTTAGAAAAATGCCACTTCTGTAAAAAAAAGGTAAAAGCCCATTTTAGTGGATGTTCCCTGTACCGGCTTTCATCTCCTCTTTTATGATTGGCACACAATAAAGTGAGGGAAATCAAGGAGGTTAAAGTCAATGTTACAGATAGTTGTTCACTGAGATGCAGTATTTACCAAGGATATCCCATAGTAAGGTTTCTCACAGTCTCTGTTAAGAGGTGGATTACACTCTCATGGAGGTAGTCTGTCATATACTATATATCTCTTTGCTAGATATACACAGTACACACACTGTGTCATGTAGGTTCTATGTTACAAAAGCTGTGACATTCAAGTGCCAAGATCCATGTAGATGTATAAAGAATATAATATAATATCTATAAGCATGGTATTTTTCATTTTCTTTGACACTGAACAACAAGAAAAGTGTGATAAAAGAGAAATGATTTGTAAATGAACCACAGTGTGAGCATGTGTTTTTCACATTGTCAATAGTGGTGATACTTACTTCAAATTGCACTTTATCACGGCGTTTACCACGACACAAAATATCACTTCAGAGTGATAATCTATATTACAAGGTGTTTGTAAGCCTACCTCTTAAGCAACCTGACTCACGTAAACAAAGTCAAAGTTATCAATCATTTACAGCCGAGACACAACAGAGCCAGTCCACAGTGATTACAGCTCAGAATCTCAAAGTCCTTGTCGGATCAGTTTTCATTAAAATGGCTGATTGTATCTGTCAGGGTCGCAGATCACCAACCTGCTCACACACACAGGAGGGCGTGTGAGCAGCAGAAAATCTCTTTGAAGGTTTTCCTCATCTCTTGGCTGCGAAAGGCGTAGATGATGGGGTCGATGACGGAGTTGCACATGATGAGGATGAGGTACATGTTGAAGTGGGACATGAAGCAGGTGCAGTAGGGGTTCCTGGGGCAGGTGATCATGAGGATGAGGTGGAGGAAAAAGGGCGCCCAGCACACCACGAACACCCCGAGGAGGATGGTGAGGGTGATGGCGCCCTTCATGTTGGCTCGCTGGTGGATGGGCGCGTTGCCGGGCAGCGCTGCGATGCGTTTCATGTGCAGGCGCGCCAGCAGGAACATGTGGACGTACAGCGAGGCCATGAGCACCAGCATGGTGAAGAACATGGTGATGAGGCAGATGAGGACCGTGGTGCTCTCTGAGTAGATGATGAAGAGGATGCCGGACACCGTGCAGCACGTCCAGATGCTGCTGATCACCAGCATGGCTCTCCGCAGGGTCACGATGTTATGGTAGCGGAGAGCGTAGAAGATGGTGATGTAGCGGTCAACGGCGATGGCGAGCAAGCTGCAGATGGACGCCAACAGAGAGCTGCAGATCAACGAGTCAAACACATTGTCCATGTTTTTGATCAACGTAACGGGGATGGTGAGGCTGCCTCCGTTGATGAGCGCTATGACGATCGTCTCCGAGGCGTTGGAGACGCTAACCAGCATGTCGGCCACTGCCAGGCTACAAATAAAGAAGTACATAGGCGAGTGAAGGTTCTTGTTTTTGATTATGGCGGTTACAACCAGGATGTTCTCCAGCAGGCTGACGATGCCCAGAGTCAGGAACACCTCTGTGGAAATCAGCAGCTGCTCGTAGCATCCTGCAGATGAGTCCTTGTCCTTGGCTGAGGAGTCTTTGTTCAGCGGCAAAATGCCTGAAGTTTGGCTCCTGTTATGGTAGCCATGGATCAACCCATGGTGCTCCGTGTTGTTCATAATGTCTCCTTTTAAATTCCCTGTCTTCTTTTCCCACGTTGTTATTTCTCCATCTGCGTCAGAATCTCAACAGGTGCGCTTCTGGAGGACAACATAGGCACGCTTAAAGGAGAATGAAACAATTCCTCACCCTTCAAGAAAGGCAATTATCTTCAAACATCTGCTGCTGCTGTTACTCTCTGACACAAACAATCCTCTCATCTCTCCAGTAAGAAGTTCAAATGACTGTTCCTTAGATGTGAGAGAGATTGAATGGAGCAGAAGCAGAGAGGTGCGTGCTGGAAGGAGCATGTGGGAGAATGATTAACAGAGCGCGGGAACATGAGCGGCACAGCGATCAGAGAGCAGCAGCTCCATGTGCGAGAGCAGGCAGATCATCACCTAGAAAGTCACTGGCCTCCCCCTCTGTCTATCTCTCTGCTAGTATGCCAGGCACACACACACAGACACACACCACACACACCCCCGTGGATTTTTGTCCTATCCGCTCGCTGATAAGGGGGGAGGAGGAGCAAAGTTTGCCTTGACGCATGAATGAGCAAATAAAAGCTTTTTACGAAATGTGAAATGGATATTTGAAAAGAAAAAGTCAGCCTATTCACGTCTAAAAATCAAAGTCAAGTTCTTACAAGGTTTTTTTTTGTATTACTGTACTGATGATCTATTAGCTCTTCACACGAATAAAACTACTGTGACTAGCAGTTATTTCACCTTACATATTTGTTATCTGAAATGTAAAAGAGTTTAATGTAGAGTTGGATGGCTACAAAAAAAACAATACACAGAGTTTTCATGACAGAACTGGACATTTTGCGGATGTATTTGGCAGGAAATCAGTGAAAGATAATGGCTTGAAAACATATTTCTCTATGCTGTTGCACAAAACTGACAGTATCCAACACTTTTCAGTTTTAGTTAACTATTTCAAATCAATTCTCAGACACGATAAACACTGTAACAGTCGATAGCAATAATACGCACACATAACCTTTGTTAATAAACCATTGCATATAGACCAAATATGATTTAATATTTAAAAAGCTGAGTGCCACTCACAGTGTGGTTGTCTTTTTCGTTATGAGGTACTGTAATTATTATAATTATAATCTGCTTCATGCACTTGTGTAATTTTGTAGTAATAACTGTCACAAAAGCTACAAACGTGGGATGCAAACAATGTTTTGTAGTACATATAATCTACTAATCGAGCGATACACTAATGCACCGCCGGTTTCCTGCAGCCAACTTGTACTTAAGGTAGTTACAGCAAACTAATGGACATCCTATTATTTTAATAAGCTTTACATTACCTTTACATAATTAATCATGTAACACTGAAAGGGCAGTTTTCTAGGATTTTGTGGAGTAAAAGGAGCGCTATTATGCTCATTTTCAGGTTCATATTAATATGTTGTGCCTCTCCTGTGACATGTCTCCATGCTTTAATGTTCAAAAAGCTCTTTATTTTTCTCATACTGCCTGTGCTGCAGCACCTCTTTTCACCCTCTGTCTGAAACCAGAGCCCAGTCTGCTCAAACAAATATGCAATATGTGCAATCCAATTGAACCTGGGTCCCTTGCATCTTCAATATAGACTCAAAATTGATCAAAATTGCACCACGAAGAGTACAAATAAGGACATTCTCTGGTTAAAAATGACATTTCAGGCTGTGAAAATATCAGAAGTTGACTCATCATCCTCAATAATCCCCAATACCACTCAGAAATTGGAAACATTGGCCAAGCCATTTTCTACCTAATGTCCCCATGGCTATAATGGTAATTCATGCTAATTAACGCACTTAAGCTAAATGTGCAAATTACCCAACGAATTCAAGTTAGCATCTGGCATTTCTAACATAAATCTTTGTTGTACTCAACATTTCTGGGTTCACAACAGGACTTTATGAGCTGGCAACTTGACTCATTTGTAAAGACAAGGCTATGTATTCACTGTAAATTATATGCACAGGAAATACTGGATGAATAGTTTGGGATCACAAGTTTGGAGGACCTGATTTTCTGGGAAGCTAAGCAATGAAGAAAAACCCAATTAAATCTGAATGAAGTAGCCTTGGGTTCAATACATAACAAGTAGATGGAATAACCCGAACTACAAAGCACAGAAACAAACCGAAAGGTTAAGTTCTGCCATGAGTCATTAAAATAAACAGTGCCAATTATTTATTTGAAAATAAATGTTGTGTTATGAATTTGTAACACTTTAGTAGCACTCAAAGCAACTGCACGGACTACCGAGGAATCCAATCAGCGTAATGCATGGTTCGTGAAGAAGTGGACACAAAAGGACCCCAGTGCAAGGCTGTTTGTGACAAAACACCTTGTGAAAAGTGTAACCATGGTAAACGTGTAGAGCAAGTCAGTGGATAAAACACACATATCTTTATATCCAACAAGCAACCAGTCCTTTCAAAGCTAAAGTAGATTCATGTTCACTTTTATAAAGCTTCTTTTGGAGGTTCAAGTATGTTTCATTGGTCCAGCATTGCAGGGCATTAAAAGTTGCAGTGAGTTGCGACACAATTCAGAATTCTAGTGTTCAGAGACAAAACCTTAATAAACGTACTATCTTCAAAGAAACAAACCACAAATGCAGTTCATCTAGAATAAATATATGGCAACGACTCCGTTCTGAGTGGCTTTTTGGGCAGCATTACGATGCACAAATGGAAAGCCCCCAGATGGAAAATGTAGAGCACAACAATCTACTCTAAGTGGCATAATTGTGGCACTCTATTGTTGCTTTCATGTTCGAAGGAATTATGGAAATAATTTCACTGGACTACGTTGAGCGTCATCACACTATTTCGTAAGTGAAGAGACCTTGAACGTGTGAGGATTCAAGCAGTGAGGTTTTGCATTTTAAAAACACAGTAAGACCTTTGTCCAAAAAGTTGCTGAAAGATCTTTAATCAAGAAAAACAATTACATTTAAGAGTCCATATTATGCTTTTTGGGGTTTCTCCATTCCTGTAGTGTTATATAGGTTTTTGTGCATTTAAACGGTCTGCAAAGGCTAAAATCCCGCTTTAAATGTTATCATTACAAAACAAAACATTAGTATCATGATAGGTAATGTTAAAAAATGCTTTCACGATGTGTTTTACACTCTACAAACCAAGGTTAAGGCCACAATCAGTTAGAAACCATCAGTCCTTTGTGACAACTGATGGACAGTCAAACAACGTTTTGCTTAAGTTCACATGGAACTACTGCATAATAACTTGCGTCCATAACTAAATGTACCAGCACAGAAGGCAGGGCTAATGTTGTTTGCCACTGTGCTAGTCTGAGGCAAAATAAGCTTAGTTTGCTGAAGTAAAACAACATGTTTTGGGTTGGAGGAGAACACAGTCCATGAACAACTTCGGTTCAGACAATGAAGACAAAACATGACCTTTATTTAAGAGCCATTCACATACCTGTACGCACAAATTTAAAAAAGGATTTGTCATTAGTTGTTTGTTAAATCAGTGCCAAGGACATGCTGAGGTTCTTCACAGCTCCACAGAATAAATGTAAGAAAATAAATGTTGCAATGCTGCGGTATAACCTTGTAGTGAGGGTGAGGGTGAGTCATCACAGAGGTACAGTAGGAGTAAATTGTGCTTATAGTCGCAATAAGTAGCTACAAATATACATTTTATAGAAATAGTATTCAAATGAATCTGCCAGCATTTTTTTATTTTATATTTTACTGTCAGTTCTCTGTCAAATGTCCTCTTTAATTACGTTGTCATATTTAGTCAACCTTGTACTGCTTCTTCTTAATAATATCTTAATAAAAGTTTGGGTAATTTAGCCTTTTCTACATATTTTCAATTAAAACCACCAATTTCTTAATTATTTTGGACATTTTTCATCATCCAATATTATTGAACATAACAGTCAATAATCTAGCTGACAAGGTCTTCAAACTACATTTTAGGGTTAAAAATGTTAACAGGTTTTTAATGAGAAATGGACGCAATCTTTAATGAAATCGATGCCATTCCATAATCGTCTGATCTTAATCATTGAAAAGAAAGCTGGCTGATAACCATACTGTGTTGACTCATGGCTTCTGTTAATAAAATAAACACTAAACATACATATGTATGTAATGCTTACTTAGTGCTATGTGTTTTACACAAACAACCACTCACACACACACTCACTACGTGTTGTTAAGTCTTTCCCAAGGACATTTCAACATATACAGCAGACTGTAGAGGACAGGGATCGATACGTAGACTTCCTATGTGCTTCCTCAGCTGCCCCATTGATTTAGCCTCTCAGCACCATGCGAGAGGCATTAAATGATAGTCTGACTGTTTCAGCACCATAAAGAAACAACAAGTGTTTAATCGTCTCTGCCAAAACTGTGGATCTGTCCAGGGAAAAGTGGTGGAATAATATGAATAATATGAGATTCAACCGGTGTTTCTTGGCCAGCACAAATATTTAGAAAACATTAGGGATTGTTATAATGAGCACGCTTCAAGTCGAGGAGATCTCATCCAGCTCAGTGCTGAGATACAAACCCTGTGCTCAAGAGGGTCAATTAAAAAGCATGTTTTACTGGCCTATGGGCTGGGTATCATGAGCGCTTTCCTAGGTGTGCTGTTGGGTAAACAATAAGGAAAGTTTGTTCTTAAAAGGCTCCTTGTTAAATTACGTGCTCTGAAAACAGATAAGTATTTCTGAAAACAGCTTTTTTTACCTCAGGCTTCAAGCTGTGTCTGCTAGGGGAGATAATACGAGAGACTTTGACTTTGAACAATACCAAGAAAGCGAGATGAGTGCCAGTTTGGAGTTTTTATACTTTCAGACAACTTATTTGCTTTTGTATGCGAAGACTGAAAAAATACACCTTTTAGTATAAGAGGAAAAGTCCATTTCAATTGGTGGCACTTAGCATAATTTATTCTCTATTTTAAAAGATTGCGAGGGAAGAACATGTTTAAAATCTTCACATTGACATTATTTACTTTGCAAGGCCATTATTGGACATTATGTTGTTTTCTGTCTCTCTAACATTATGGCTCTAAATCGTCCTCTCAATTTGCTGCAGAGTGAGGATATTAGCCGTATTTTTCTCTTTGTTTTGTTCGGCTACATACAGCTCACGACTCACCGGCAGCAAATAGAGAGACACACACAGGTGAACACAAACTCAGACAGACATCTGCACACTTGGACAAGGAGAACTCGGTCAGAGTGACCTTTAGGGCTCAACATAAATGCACACCGGGGACCAAAGACAAACAGAGACTAAGCGCACACACCAACACGCTGCACTTTAATGCAGGGAAGGGTCACATTACATTACATTACAATGTCACTTGTTAGACGCTTTGATCCAAAGCGACTTACATACTCAATACTGTGAACAATCCCCACACTGGAGGGAATTTGGGATCAACAGTTCCCTTCACACAGTGCTTGTCGGTATTTTTTTTAAATAAATGATTTCCCTCCATTTAATATGTAATGGCAAAATCAAAAATATCCTGACACTG